GACTGAGCGCGTCTTGGTGTCCCATGATACACAGTGCAGTGATGCCCCAATAAATCGCGTTCATGCGCAGGTGCGCCGTCAGATGGTATGTCAAGTCATCTTTGTTCTTGCCCAAGTTCTGAATGTACGCGACATGCTGGGAGACAAGCAGTTCAGATGTCGTGGTCGTCATTGATCAAAGCTCGGAGTGAAGGCCCGAAAGCGCCGAACACATCTCGAAATCTGACGTCCATGTTCGCCCTACGCATCGCCGCTTCGCGTTTGCCGCGCCAGAGGCTGTTTTCGACAACTGTCGCAGCCCTTGGTGATCCATGGCCGCTACCGCATACGCCTGAGCATATTTCCAAAACGGTTACACCTACCGACGTTCCTCTGCCAACGCCTCTGCCCCGGTTCAACGAATCCGTCGACACCCTGCGTGCCCGGCTCGTTTATCAGTCACGAAAGCGCGGAACTCTGGAGAGCGACCTTCTTCTGAGTACTTTTGCGAGAGACAAGCTCGGGGACATGAGTGAAGCTCAGCTTCAGGAGTACGACAAGGTGCGCAATGGCATGTCTCGCAGGGTTTTACTTATTGGTGTGAACAGATGCTCGACGAGCCGGACTGGGATATCTACTACTGGGCTACAGAAAATAGGACTCCCCCCGAGAGGTGGGCGACCTCGGCTATCCTCGATATGCTCAAGGTCCACGCACGAAATGAGGGTCGTGTTGTACGCCGTATGCCTGCATTAGATTAAAGGATGCGACCCATAATAACACATTTCATTGTGTACCTCCATATTTGCGAAAGTATCTATCAACACTCCCGATCCAGCATTATGACCAACTGCAGAACCTACGGTCCCGGGCATGGAAGAAACTCACTGCCACTATATTGACTGCGCCTACCTTGACTGTACCGTTCATCTCCATGCTGGCATCTCGAAAACGGGCATTCTCCAAGTGGGACTTAACAGCAGATTCCTGAAGGAAAACGGCGCTTTCAGGTCCATTCTGGACTTATTCTCTTGTGCGTTCGATTCCCTGCTCCCGTCTCGAACTTGAGATGTGGTGGAAGACTCCATTGCTGTATTACCCAGTTTCAATATAGGCTGTTTATAGAAAGCTACACGACCAGAGCACTCGTTGACCAAATCTCTCACTGGTCGAGACTTGAAACAAGTTCCAGCATGTATTCACATGACATAACAACCTCACTGTCTTTCCACAACCATCATGGACCTTCGCTTCACTGACGACAGCGCCGACAATACCATAATACTTCTTCCCGATGATACGCCCGCGTATTTCGTTGAAACCGAACACAAATTCCTTGTCCACTCCCGAACGGTCATAAAGAAGACGCACGCAGACACAATCACCGAGATGGGCTCAGTGAAGCTCAGCTCTATGCTTGACGATGGGTTCGTGAACGTGTGGGGACGCAACATTACGCCGCAAAGTACCGGGATGTTCAGTGCGTACGTGAACGGGTTCCTGTTCCAGCAAGTTTCCCACCGTTCACCCTAGCCCTTCAGATCACGAACATTCGTTGCTTCTGACGGTAAATCCTACAAATGGAAGGTGGAAATGGGCTCACCGCTTTATGTGTGTGCAGTATGCAGACAGTTGGATTGTATCTAACATGCATTCGTATAGTTGATATCGACAGGCAACCACCACACAGTTGCAAGTTACGACAGAGGCTCGCTTGGATTTTTTGGGAAAGCACGTCTGCCTAGTTTGTCCGTCACTCCAGAAGGCATGCCCATAGGAGACGATATCATTGGCACCTTTGTTTTCATGCGCCTTGATGAGGAACGCCGCAGACGTAGACGCAGAAGATGATGTTGGTGAGCTGTATCGTGGGGAGAGCCGGATGGTGCTGTGTGCTTCCCGGGATCCCTTGCTATTCACTACATATGTTGATACAGAATTTGTTTCGGATGGTGTAGCTCATGCAGTACCCAATGTACTAGTCATACTACAGTATGGCGAATACTTACATGTGCCAGTTCCGTAAGTGGACGAGAATTGCCATGTACTTGGTATCTATAACGATTTGAAGGATGTACATACATGAGCTGTGCTTATGCAACCCGTGAAGACTGCAAATTGCAATATTGAATCACTATCGGCTAATCGGTCCGGATGCCGACCATTTCCATGCTCTCGCGCTCGTGCACTCGAGGACTTCATCTGCGCCGACTGTTTTCCACAGGCCCTGGAGACCTTTCGAAGGCGTACAATGTATGCGTAATTGGAGGAGGACATGCGGGATGCGAGGCTGCGACCGCGTCCGCTCGGACGGGTGCGAAGACACTGCTCATAACGAAGAGCATGGAAAACATCGGTGAACTCTCTTGCAATCCCTCTATTGGTGGCGTGGGAAAGGGCACGTTAGTCAAGGAGGTGGACGCGCTTGATGGTGTAATGGGAAAGATAGCTGGTGCGCGCTCAGTGGTTGTCAACAACATGCATTGCTAATGAACCAACAGACAAGGCTGGCATCATGTTTCGTGTCCTTAACATGAACAAGGGCCCAGCTGGATGGGTAAGTTATATGAGCAACTCATTGAAGAGATTATACTCATCAAATCAGGGTCCTCGCGCGCAAATAGACCGTGTTCTCTACAAAAAGTACATGCGAGAAGAACTGCAAAACTACAAGAACTTGGACATTTGCACTGCAGAAGCATTCGATATCGTCTTTGACCATGAGCAAACGCCGGAAAACACGTATGGTACCGTGAAGGGCCTTCGACTCAGTGCGTTGCATATCCTACTTTGGTCACAGTTAGTATTGAGCAGAATCAGAAACGGGGGACATCATCCCATGTTCACAGATTGTCATTTGTACTGGAACATTCCTGTCCGCAGAAATACACATCGGTGACTCATGAGTTCCTGACAACTTCGTCCGTCCGCTAATTCTGCGTAGGACCAAAAACCATCCCCGCTGGCCGAATAGGCGAGGACCCTACCATTGGCCTCTCCGCATCACTCAAGTCGGCAGGCTTCAAGCTCGGGCGTTTGCAGACTGGTACTCCCGCAAGAATTGACGGCAAGACGGTCAATTTCGAAGGCATGGAACGACAGGACGGCGACCAGCCACCATGGCCATTTAGCTCCCTCAACCTGACTGTTCCGAATGCCAACAACCAAGTAGCCTGCTTCAGGACCGAAACCAATCCAACAACGCACGAATATGTGCGAAAACATATGGTCGACAGTGTACACATACAAGAGACAAAGCGAGGTGAGTCTTGCGAACATGGTCTGAATAAAGCTGAAGGTAGTGCAAGGCCCAAGATATTGTCCGTCCCTTGAGGCCAAAATCAAACGATTTGCGGACAGAGACTCCCATGTTGTATGGCTCGAACCAGAGGGCTATGATTCGGATATCATCTATCCCAACGGTGTCTCCAACAGTTTGGCGGAAGAGGTGCAGGAGGGTATGATGCGCACCATCGCAGGTCTGGAGAACGTCAAGATTGTCAAACCGGCATATGGTGTAGAGTACGACTATGTGGATCCAAGGGAATTGACAGGTACCCCCTACAACATGGTCGCTTGCAGTGATGCTGATTGGCTTTGCAGCGACTCTGGAGACGAAACGCATCCCTGGCCTTTTCCTGGCAGGCCAGATCAATGGCACAACTGGCTACGAAGAGGCTGCCGCTCAGGGCGCTGTCGCTGGAATCAACGCAGGTCTCGCAGCATTAGGGAAGGCGCCGTACATAATGTCACGGTCGGAGGGCTTCATCGGAGTCCTTATTGACGATCTCATCTTGAAGGGCGCTGAAGAACCCTGTATGTCTTTTCCTTGATGTGTGTTCTTATGCTGATTATGGCCAGACCGAATGCTAACCAGTCGATCTGAATATCGCTCTTCACTTCGGCCGGAGAATGCTGACTTGCGACTGACAAGGAAAGGTGAACTTCGGTTATTACATGCCTGACTATCATGCTGACCATAGCCAGCCTTTGAGGCCGGGGCTGTGTCTGCGGAAAGATTTTCTCAATACGAAACAATGGAGAGGTCGTTCAAGCAAGTAATCGACGTCCTCAAGGCAAATGTCAACTCGCCCCATGTAAGCCTGTTGATCTCGATTGTCGCAAATAAGGCCTGACGAAAAATGTAGGAATGGTCAAAAATGGGTGTCAACTGCCCTTTGGATGGGGAATTCCGAAGCGCATTTGAGCTGCTGTCGTACAAGCATATTGACGGCAACGTATTGGATAGGGTGATGCCTCTGTTACAAGAGGTTGACCCGAGGGTGAGGCAAAAGGTTGAAATCGAAGGTGCGGTTCTTGCTAGCTTTCGGAGCCGGTGCTCACGCTCGCAGGTTGGTATCACCCACATTTAGTCCGACAAACTCAAGACCTCAAAATATTCAACGAGGATGAATCCATGTTGTTGGATCCCTCCCTCGACTACAACACTGTCCCGGGATTGAGCAACGAAGTACGCACCAGATTGCTGGAGACGCGACCCACGTCGTTTGGTGCCGCCAAACGCATGGAGGGGATGACTCCTGCGGGATTGGTTTACCTTCTGCGTCATGCGAAGACGACTTTCTCCAAGGATGTTGCGGAAGGAAGAATTCGCACACGGCCTGGTGCAAGGCTTCGCGATCAGCCACCGTCAAGCCGTGCAAGAAAGACCGCGGGGCTGTAGACATTTCGCTGCAGTCGGATATCTATATTTTATGGTACAACCTAAGTCTAATGAACATTCCTAATCTATTATCTCTAAGCTTCTTCGGAAAATACCGCCGAGCAAGCTGTACAATGAGAAATCGGCTTTGTAGGACCAGGCAGTTAAGAGCTTGAATCCATGATTTATCATTTATCATCTAGTTGTTCCCAAGTACTGTAACCTGTTACTGTAACGAGTTACGCCAGTCGAGTCTCAAGAGTCGACGACTCGACTTACACGTTCGTCGTTCAGTCACCAGTGTTCAAACTTCACTGTTCACTGTTCAGTTTTCATTGTTCAATGAATTGTGCAAAAATGATTCGTGTGGGGATTGAACCCACGGCATCCTGCGTCATGATGTAAAGCAGGCGTCATAACCACTAGACCAACGAACCATAGCAGCTAGATATGGTCAATAAGGTCTGTAAAAGATATCTATCTGTTCTACAATATATCACTGTATCCCTAGCTGGATGGAACAGCAGGGGAACAGTGTATCCACATTCAGACGGCACCCCCCAATTTCCATTTCGCTTCTAATGGACACGCAGCTCTATTTACCTCTCGTTGTTGTAAGTTGTTACAGTGCTTTCTTGCGATCATCAAGTACTGTGTGCCGGAGCCTATTGTGGACTTCGTGTATTTCTCTTACCTACGTCGCTTGAAATGGTTGTCTCTGACAAGCGTCTTCTTTGGGATCCGCGCCATGGAAAACGATTTGTCGTGGGAGGTGGGACGCAGTTGACGATGTACGAGTGGGCGCCGGACCAGCCAGAAATCAGGCTAGTCACCGCGAAGCATGATCTTGAATTCATGAAGGTGCGCAATACACACGTTGCCGACGTCTCTTAACAGCGACAGTGCTTTGCATGGTCTCCAGATCCCATTGTGCAGGACCTCATCGCTGTCGGGTCGTCGACTGGTCACCTAGATCTCTTTCGGCTGGAATCCTCGAAACAAACTCGCCATAGCAGCAGTCTGTCGACAGGCCCACTCACTTCCCTTCCTGTAAGAAACCAACGCGCTGTAAACGCGCTTTCGTTCTGCACGGCCGACCCAAACTACCTCGCGGTGGGCCTAGACAAAGTCCGAGGGGACTGCAGCCTTGTTGTATGGGATATTGCAAGCACCGTACCCTCCCTTATTGTTCCCACCGATAAACAAGATGCATCGACTACAATAGCAAGACCCCAACCTCTCCTTCCTCGTCCCGAACTTGCCGCTCGCGTTGATAATCGCATTCTGCAGCAACATGCTCCAACAGACGTTGTCTCCGCACTTACATTCCTCCCACAAACAACCAGTCTTATCCTAGCAAGCATGTCCTCGCGCTATCTCCGTCTTTTTGACCTTCGCAATCCCAATCAACAAGCAGCCAACATAAACCTCCGGGTGACAGGAATGTCCCCAGACCCTTTCGATCCTCGGCGTGTTGCCTGCTACGGCGACGGTTCTGTCACGGTCTGGGACACGCGGACATTGGCTCAGCCAATACTTAGCTTCTCAGAGAAGGACGCCGCAGCGGACGGTGCAAATCTTTCCTCTCTGCCCTACTCAGCCGTCGAATTCTCGTCTACAAGACGCGGCACCCTTGCCACATTGCAGCGAGGCTCTAAATTCGTACGAATGTGGGATGTGATGGAGGCGAGCCCTCAGATTGTCACGATGGAGGCAGCGCCAGACGCAGACCGAGGAAGAGACAGCTCTCAGCCTTCACAGCGGTTAGGCAAACGCTCGTGGGCAGCAAATCTCCCGTGGCCAGGTAGTGCTTCCTCCAGCTTGACAGATTCGACCAAAGACCATCCAGTTTCACACATCCAAACTGGCGCCATTTTGACGGACACTCGCCGCTGTAGGTCTCCGACAATCCCGATCCCAATGTGATATCTGACGCGCGCGCAGCCAAAACATTCCATCAACCACTTTCGTCGTTCGCACTCGTGCCATCAGAGAACAATGTCCTCACCACCAATCTCATGGTCGTCAACTCCAATGGCGACTTGGAGTACTCCGCATTATACGATACCCCCAAGCAAGCAAGCTGGAGTGCTCGCGGAGATCTTGCCCTCGGTGCTGGCTTCTCGTACCGCATCGTGTCCGCTCTCCCTGACGAGGAGGTACCTCCTGAGCCATGGGACATACCGGCACCTCTACCCCATGCCCCTCGCAGTGCTGGTAATTCACAATCCAGAGGTCGCGATAAGCCTGCCTCAAGGGAGCCAGCGACGACGACGACGACGACGACAAGTCGGAGTGCATCGTATAACCCGTCGTCCCGCCGCCAATCCTTCAGGGGTTCTAGTTTGGCTGCTGATACTCCTCAAGGACGCTCATTCAGTCCTTCCTCGTTGAGAATGCAAGACACTCAAATGAACAAGGCAGAATTTTTCAACAGATCTATTTCTCGGTCGCGCAAAGAAAACGTACGGTTGAAGCCGGCCCTCTCGCCTGATACTCGGGCCCCAGTAAAGCCGAAAAAGCAGTTGAAAGGAATAGCAGCTACAATAGAAGAGGACGTGTCCATGATGATGAGGAGAAGAGCTCTAAGCGGATACGGTTTGACCAGCGTAAGTTATATTTCTGACCACAAATGCTTCTAATGGGCCCCCAGCCTTCCAATAATTCATGGATTATCTTGAACACAAATGACTCTGCCGACTACTTGACTCTGATACTGGCGGACCTATGGAAATGGATTGCTTGTACGATGTGGTATACCCATACCTCGTCGGTCTGACCTTGCTGTTAGACACTCGCAACATCATATGCCACCCATCGCCCATTGTGAACGGATTCGACTTTTCTTTCGACGGGCTCTACAACACATGGGAAGGACATACACCTCGCATCGACATTGCGACTGCAACACCCATGAATCGTAGTAGTCTTCTTCCCCCTGATGATGATATCCTTCGAGGGCAGCGGACTATCTCGCCGATGGGACGGTCGCATGGGGATCTCAACGCTGCACTTAAAGAACTGCTTGCCAGAGGGGGACTGGACGCTACCCATTGGACACCTTCGGTACATACTGCAAAACCTTTACAGCGACAAGTTGCCCTGTTGATGATTGGATGGAGCATGAAAGAGCATGAGCTGGCAAAGGATATCGAAAGGTTCGTCCACCGGAACTCCCGTATACCATTACTCAAGAATTTCAGGTGGGTTGAGAACGGCAAACTCTCGCGAGCGGCTTGCTGGGCCGTCTTCACGAGGAGGATTTCCAAGGCAGTTGATATACTTTTGCATAGCGAAGGTATGCATTGTCATGTTACTGCGACCTTTTTTTTTAAACCAATACAACCCAGACGAGAACCATCAAATGATGTCCGGTATGCTCGCGGCGCTAGCTGGCCATATCAGCGGCCGTTCAGGCGGTCTGAGCTCTGTCGACCTTCGAGAACACTGCGAGCGTATGATTGTGAAGCTTCAGGACCCATATTTACGCGTCATCCTTACACACCTAGCGCTGGGCGACTGGATGGAAGTGCTCGAGGAGGAGCTCCTGCCCTTCCGCGAACGCCTTGCCATTGCCTTCCAGTTCTTGGACGACAAATCGCTATCGTCGTACCTCTCAAGGGTAAAGGATAGACAAAACGGTGGTGCTATCGATGCAATAATGGTCACTGGCTTGCGGTCAAAGGCTGGCGTGGGTGTGGTACAAGCTTATGTGGATACGACTGGCGACATACAGACGGCGGCGGTCCTGGCCTCATTTGTATCCCCTGCTCGACATACTGACAAGAGGGCTGAAAGGTGGATCGACAGCTATAGGGATTTGTTGGACGGGTTCAGGTTGTTCCATCACCGCGTAGAATTCGATGTGAGCAGAGGAAAGGTGGTTCAAGAAGCCGTTGACGACGGATACATCTTACCGAAGGAATGGGCGCCAAAACATATCTTGCTTAGATGTAATTACTGCAACAGGACAATGAGTGGGGAGGGGACAACGGATGGCGGAAGACCCTATAAAGTATGTGGTTTTCACAGCAACGATGTTATTCTGATGATATATCCGCCAGCCTACGGTTTGCCCACATTGCGCGCGCCCACTGCCTCGATGTTCTGTCTGCTTGATGTCGTTGAGTATCATACCAGACATTGCCCGAGAAATGCAGTTAAGAAAGAACCCGACCGCGGAGGCAGGTCAGTAATTCAGTACTTTCTGTGCACTTGGAATGTGACGCTATTTAGACACCCTCGAGGACGCTATTGTCATGTGCCAAACTTGTCGACACGGTGGACATGCAAGTCATATCATGGACTGGTTCTTCGTCGGGAACGGCGCACAGTCGCATACGACCTGCGCGGTGGCTAGCTGTGACTGTCCGTGCGCAGATCAGATGTAGACTTGTAATCTTGTTAACGTTCAACGGGTTACACGTACAAGTACTTACCTCCTTGCTTTTACTTTTGTCGAGCCTGCTACTGCTTTTTCTTTTGGTATCGTATTTGTTCCAGAGGTTGTATAACACGTTGATTTGGAAGTGAATCTGATTTGTCGGCTTGTCGTAATGGAGGTGGAAGAGGATGTCACGCTAGCCATACTTAGTACTGCTAAGTACTATACATTGTTTCTCATGAGATCAAGCACACCTGACGTCAATTCTGATCGAACACCTTTCAATGTCACGTCCACCACCACCATTACGCTTGCCCTCGTCTGCGAAACTGCGCCGCAATGGCGAATCGCGAAGGCAAGCCTCCGCGACACACCGCACGTCGAAGACTTCGCAAAAACTCGTCGTCCTGCCCTCCGCCCCACAAACAAAGCCATTAGCAGCTGAGGAAGACGAACTGGACTACGAAACCGATGTCGGTCATGGGCGTGCACACAAGACTGAAGGCGAGAAAATGTCGAAGGATCAACGAGAGCGCGCTGGCTTCAAACGGCTTACAGCCTACTGTGTGGCCGAATCCTTGAATGCGAAGTTACTTGCCTCATACCTCAAGCGGGAACATAATGTCTTCCCACGCGTATTTGACGAGGCCCTCTACGTGGTGTGTGGCGATGGAGGCCGTGTCCCACCAATGCTAATGAGAGCTATAGATGTATCACCTTCCCTTGTTGCCTGGGTACGGCCCTTCATCCAATATTCGGTCTTCTGCCCCGCCCAATCCGGAGGACCGCAAAAATATCATGTCCCGCTTGTCTGAAGCCGAGGAAAATGGATACCAGGGCACCTACTTCCCAGCAGAAGAGACGCATAGTCACCGTGATGGATACATCTCAACCTCTCCAGCAACGACACGGACTATGCGACGAAGACCCAGCGATTCAGAGGCAGAAGAACCAGAGCACGCCGCTGCGGTTTCCGACACTGAGGCAGAGGTGGAGGCAGAGGTCCCTGCCAACCCACCACAGCCCCCGCGCCGTTCAAATACCGTGCCTGCA